CTTCTTGTTGGAGAGAACTTAGCGGTGAGAATAATTGGGAGGGTCTGTTGCACCCTCTCGATAATATCGATCTCCGCCGCTATCTCATTCACTAATGTCAAAGGGCTATAGCCGACGATGATGCTCTCAATGGGACTAGGGCATCTAAGGGTTATGCCCATAGCCTATACCCGGCTGATGAGTTTTTCGCTAGGGTTGGCTCGAAACTGGTAACTCTTACTAGGGGTGTAAACGAGCCGAGTCGAGCTCGAGTATTGTTGAGCTCGACTCGACTCGAAAACTCGCGAGCTTAAAACTTTCAAGCTCGACTCGAACTCGAAATCCTGAACTGAAGCTGGTGATAAGCTCGAAAAGGCTCGAAATGAAAAAAAATCTTAAACTTAACTCGATTGAAGCTTCAAACTCAAACTCGAACATGAACCTTAAATAGATAAAAATCTTACTTAATTTTAAAAATAAATCAATACATAAATTTTAATATTATTAATAATTTATTTTCTAAAAAAATAAAATCTTAATTATATATTTCGAGCTGCTCACGAGCTTTTCGAGTCGAATATCGAGTAGCTCGTTTCGGCTCGTTAAGAACTCGAGTCGAGCTCGAGCTCGAGTCGAATCCATTCGATTCGAGTATTTATCGAGCCTTAATCGAGTCAATCTCGAGTAGCTCGCGATCTGTCTCGTCTCACTTAAAGTACTAACTCTTACCATTATAAAGTGGTGACCTTTATTTATACTGCTACAGCTGCAGAGGAAGTGGCGTATTTCGGATATGTCGCGGTGGCCACCAACTAAGGAAAAGCCATTCTGGGTAGGAGGGATATTCTCGTTTCGTGGAGAGAAACCATAACACAGACAGGGTGGGCTAACGATGCTAATATTTTTCAAACATCAACTAAAGAATTGTTCGGACACGATATTGTTCAGGTGCATGCTGGTTTTTACAGCATCTATACGAAGTCAATTTTAAATTCCCCTTATGCCAAAACCAGCGCCAGGGAACAGGTAAATCTTGACATATACACATTTGACATATTCATATATATATATGTATGTATATGATGAATTACGTAAACAATTCATTAATTTGCTATTAATGGCCCGTCAGGTTTTTAAAGTGTTGCAGCAGCTGGTAAGTATGTATCAGAACGAGAAGGTGAGCATAACTGTGAAAGGTCATAGTCTGGGCGGTGCACTTGCAACCCTAAACGCTATGGACATAGCTCACAATGGTTTCAATCAGCCTGCAAACAATCCAAATAAGGCGGCCTTCATGGTGACTGCTTTTCCGGTCGCAAGCCCCCGTGTCGGGAACATGTTTTTCAGTGGAGTTTGCGATAACCACGAAAATTTTCGTATACTAAAGATTGCAAATTCGACAGACCACGTTCCTAAGCTTCCGTTTTTACCAGGAATATACTTCCATGTGGGACAAGAGTTAGGGATTGACACGACCAAGTCACCCTACCTGAAATGGAATATTAATCCTCACAATTTGGAGGCTTACCAGCACGCAATAGCAGGGCAGCAAGAAAATGGAGAATTCAAACTGGAAAAAGAAGTTGGATTTGATAATGCCGTCATAAACAAATACACTGATGGTTTACTGGATGAATACAAAATACCAGATAACTGGTGGACTAAAGAAATGTTCAAAAACATGATTCAGGCAGACGACGGGCACTGGAAGTTCAACGACATTGCCTTTGTTCCAGATCCTCTAGCAGCTTAAATGGATCCATCGATGCATGTCAAAGGATTATGTCTTTCAAAATGAAATCATCTAAAACCAGTATCGTATCTGTTTCCTGCAAAATAAGTACCTCTACAGCTCTACTTATCTAAGTAGCAGGGATTCCTTAAGTTAAAATATAGTTGGACGTCAAGCCTCTGTCGTCCAACATGATTGTGCTGTCTTAACTTTGTGTGTTTGTCTACATATATTTTAAATAATTAAGTTATTATTTTATATGTCCAAGAATAGTGTTAAATTCTAGTATTTGTCATGAAGTTTATGCTATACATGTATTCACTGCATTTATATACTCATTTTCTAATACATTAATTATAAAGAGAAGTAGAGAACAATGTACATTCGAGTTCGATGGTTTTATTTAATAATGGAGTTCTATACCACATTAAGTATTTAATATCTTGAAAACACAACAAAAAATAGGATTAATCTATTGAGTTTCGGTTTAATAGTTTAATGAATAAAAACATAAGAACATTGTTTAGTTAGAAAAATTTATTAAAACTTGTTTGTTTTAACTAAAAAAATGCTGTTGGTATTATTAAATATTAAGAAGATATATAATATACTAACAATAAGTTAGTCTAATGGGATGAGGCACTAGATCCCTTAAGTAAGATCACAGATTTGAATCTTAACGTTTACGAATGGAGTAAATTGAATTGAGAGGGTCGTACTCGTTTTTGTAGTACTCGATCTGAATTAGTCGATCATTAGATCGGATACCAGAAGTTTAAAAACTATATATATATATAATATTTGCCAACCTAAAAAATCGTAAAAGAATATTTTCTTCGTCCCTATTAAAATATCACATTTACTTTTCTAAAAGAATTACGTTTTGATGATAGGTAATTATATTTTAAAACTAAAAAAATAAATTAATAATAGAATATCAATAAATTAAATTTACAATCACTTAATTATTGAAAGATTTTAATATAATGATCAGTTTTTAAAATTTTTAATCAAATCACTTAATTATTTAAATTATACCAATTATTTGACAGAGGATTTGACATAAAAATTAATAAAATTGATATAATTACATATTTAATTTTTTTTATTTATGCATTTTATCAATATGATCTTAACTTTAAATTAATCAATAAATTTAATCTTTATCAAATTGTGACATGTGTCTTAATGTGATCTAAAGATTTTTCTTAATTTAATTTAAATTTATGAAAAAATCCTTTAATCTAATGATATCACATGTCTACATCTGATTATGTCTACATCTAATTGAAGGAAAATAAATTAAAGAAAGTAGAGGTCGAGAAAATCATACTTGGGTCTTGAAAGGGAGATGGCGCACTTCTACCGCTGAACCAAATTCCCATTTTTTGTATCAGATTGGAGGCATATCAATCCCATGATGCAGCTAGCTAAGATTTGTCACTATAGAGGGCTTTTATATCACCTTTGTCCAAGGATTTAAATTGTGGTTATGGTTGCGTTTTCGATTATGTTTATCGCGAATTACAGACATAATAGGTGTTATTACGGTCATTACAGATATCTTTGTCATGTAATAACGGTTTTAGATAACACTAAAATTACTATATAACGATTGTTATTTTGATAACGTAACGCTATTTAAATTCCTTCCTCCACAAATGTATATATACTTAAGTTCATGAGACCTCGTGCTCTTGATTGTCTCTCTTCTTTTCATTTCCCTACCGTTCTCGATGACCTCCCGTCGACGAATGTTGATGTCACTCAAAACATTCTTTCCCTCTGCAAGTCCAGCATTTAAACATGCTTACCCTAGCTACTTCAAACAACTCCTCCATAACCTAAATGAGTCCTCATTGACATTCAACGTCCCGTTGTTTCTTGCATTGTTTCGGATGATGTTATAAGCTTGGCGTCCATGAAATTTTCAGCGACATCAACGAGAAAGTTGCAAACGCTCGAGAAAGCCTTTTCCTTTACTTGGCGTCCATAAAGTTTTGTTTTGGACCTCGAGCGCTTGCGGCTTCCTCGTTTATTTTCATTATCGCCAACAAATGGAAAAGGCTTTTATGCCTCTCGGAGGTAATTGTAAAGACTTTTTTAGCTTATTTTTTTTTCTTCCATTTCACCACTTCCCAGCCATTGTTATCTTGAATTTGCATATAAAAGCTATTTAATGTACTGATATTTGAATACCGTTGTAGATTGGATACCAACAATGGAAGGCATCTAGTTAAGGGACATATCTTCTTTTATAAGAACAGATCGATGACCTAGATTTCGTTATGCTTCATTTCTTATCCGTTGGAAATGAAAGAACTCGGCGTATATATCATATGATGTAATAATGTATGTACATAAAATGGAGGTAGCTATGCGGTAGAATCCCTAGAGGTACACCATCTCCCCTATTTTGTAGGGGTGTATTCGGTTTGGTTCTTTCTTAAAAATTGAACCAAAATAAACGAGTTTTTAGAATTTAAATCGAAATCGAAATCGAATGGTTAAAAAATCGACTTATGTGAAATCAATTTTTTCGGTTCAGTTTTTTTAACGGTTCAATTTTTTCGGTTCGATTTATTAGTTTTTCAATGAAAAATTCACTTGAAACTATAAATTTTTAAAAAAAATTGTCTATTCAGTTCAGTATGGAACAAATGGGTTCTATATGGAAAACCCGAACCGAACCGAATCAATAGAATTGAGACTTTAAACCAACCCGAAAATCGAACCGTATAAAGTCAAAACAAACCGAACCGTTTTACTCGGTTCATGTCGATTTTTCGATTTTCTCGATTTTGTTGCAGACCCCTACCCTTTTGTATCCAATTTGATTCCCTCAACCCTTTCTTTCTTTAGTTTATTTTCTTCAACTAAACAATGTCTTATGCGGTTATTTGATTGAAAGGAAAATTCATTTAATTAAAATTAATAAAAAGTCATTTAATCGTTGTGATACATGTGACTATTTGATTGATCAATTAAATTTATTGAATCAATTTATAATTACGATCAGATTAATATAATGTATAAAAATGAGAATTAAATATATAATTATACTAATTTTATTAATTGTTATATCAACTCATTCGGTAATGTTAACGATATATAATTTGATTATCATCATTTAAATAGTTAAATGATCTTATTAATAAAAGTAAAAAATTAATAGTTAAAATTATAATTCCTCACTAATTAAGTGATAATGGGTGTAGTTTAACCTAATAATTTCTATAATAAATAAATAAATAAATAATTAAACAGGGAAAAAACCTAAGAAACCATTTCCATTTCATCAATGGCTTCTCTGCAAGTATCGTTTCCTACGATTTCAGCAATTCGCTTGAGCTTCTCTTAGTATTCTTCTTCGTCTTTGAAGGGAGTTTCTTTCGTTGGACGGACGATGTGTGACCGGAGGAGCTCCGGGCACCGGAGAAACCGTCGTGAAATGGCCTCAACAGCTATGGTCCAGCAAACTATGCCGGGAGGAGCTTCGGCTATTTATGCAAAAGAGATAGAGCGACTTTCAGCTAAGGAATCTCTGCTTCTTTCTGTGAGTTTCTCCTCTCTCTGTTTTGTAGTATTTTGCGGTCCTTTTTTCGGTTTCGGGCCGAATAATGATAGGAAGAAGCAAAATTTAAAGTAATTGCCTTATCCTCAGTTTGTCATTTTCGGACTGAGTCAAAGCTGTTTCATTTTAGGCGCTTAAAATTCTGCTGAGATTTTCGTTTTCTTGCTGCGTGCCAAACATTTGGTAACCTATTTTAAGGTGCTGTAAAAAATGTTATCAGGGCTTTCATGTGATTAGCATCATAGTTGAATGGCTGTAATAGTTACCTGAAGGGAAAGCATGAGCCAACACGATTGTTTTGAAGTTATATATGGGGAAATTTTAACTGTCATCTACAACCTTTTCTATATAGTTTCTTCTTTATTTATCACATTTCAATTTCAAAGGGCAGAAATGGTAGAGAGAAGGGCGAAGGGCTTATGTTATAATTTTAATGAATAGTATACGGTTAGACTTCAATGTAGGAAGCTCTTTTGGCTGAAAATAGCTTTTAGAATGATGCATAAACTGAAACGGGCTGATTTATATCTTCAAGTTATCTTGACTTCAAGCTTGAGGACAAGCTCTATCTCTAGGAGGGAGCGTTGTTGTGGACGCTGCAGTAACTTTAGAAGTTGTTTTTGGTATGTGGTAGGACTAGTAGAATAAAAGAAGTTTTCTTATAGGAATTTATTTAGTTTAATATAACTTCCTTATTGGATTAGAAATGAGATGATGAATAAAAAAGACTACAATTTTTTTACCAAACCTCAAAAGAGACGAGGGTCTCTCTCTCTATAACAATTCATAAGGTTTTAGGCTCTTTTTGACATTCTTAATTGTCAATCAAAATATGTTGTTCTAGAAATCAAAATAAAGGGAAGACAAATTGATCTCCACTTCCCTACCAATTACACTGTGACATGATCCTAGTCGCATATTCTTAACGAAGAGAGAAAACAAAGTAAACCTGCTGCACTAGAGCTACCAGTGAAGCATCTAAGTCAATAAGTTGATGCTATTGACTGGTATGCTTGGATAAAGAGAAGTAGAAGCAGTGCAGCACCTAAGTCAATAAGTTGATGCTAGTGACTGGTATGTTTGGATAAAGAGAAGTAGAGGGGTATGAATTTATGAAAGTGCAAAGAGAAAAATAAAGAATAGGCAAGAATAGCAAAAGCAAAAGAAATGAAGGAGTAAGGAAAAAAAATGAAAGATAATAATGTGGCTGACACAGGTCTTATGCAGCTTGCCACATCAATGCTTATTTGCCTATTTATGTGGCAACAAAGAGATGATAATGTGAAAGCCTTATGAAATGTCTTGAAGAATTATATTACAATTAGTATGATAGAAATAGTATTGCATAAATCCTAGATCATGAGTTCAATTATCCTATTTTTCACTTTTATACACGTCACAAAGGGTGCTTTTTATTTTTAACCTCAACGTACGTATAATAATATTAAATATAAATTTGAATTTAAACAAGATAAAAAAATGCAGCAGAACTGCAGAATCAATAGTTAAGAACAACAGAAAAGAATATTAGATTATATCCCTATCAAGTTAGTTTTGCACGCCAAACCCAGTTTGATTCAATTTCATAATGGTACCCAACCTCTAATGAAGATATACACCGGATACCTAGAAATATTCTAAAAGGAAAGGATTGTGCTTAATCAACAGGTATGCTAGTAGCTTTGGTTTCAAAATCCACACTTCTCATGTTTGGAAGTGTGGCTAAGCATGCTTAAATATACCATGTGTCACAAACATAATGTCTTAGCCCGATTGTTACGTCGTGCAGCACTTGAATGGGACCTTCCCCAAACAAGTCAGCCTTGCCCTCAATGATTTGTTCCCGGATAAACCTGGTCATAAAGCCATGTGATTCTTGATAAGAGTCTTTCCCTCGGTACTGTAGTCATTCTCATAACATCCTGTCCAAATAGACAAGCCATGCGTCAACACACAAGCCACAATAAGATCCCAAAGGTAACAAAAACTCTTGGATGGGAGATCCCGCGGAACCTAGTGGAAGCTAGAGTCCAACCTCACTCCTCAACCAAGAGAGCGATATGGGGCCTACAGGCCCCAAACAGTCCCTAGATATTTTTCCTAGAGAGACATTGTACCATTCACTTGGTCTCAATGCCCGCACACCTAGGCCCCACATGAGTTTAGGAGAAGGTCGCTTACACCCTGTTAGCTCCACATGCTAGCTCAAGGTGAGGGGGATGAGGTTAATTGTAGGCCTTTACTTTGTTCCTCGCACATAAACTTTGAATTAAGTCCTTGAGCATTTTTTTTATATTTCAATTAAGCCTAGGGGTGGGTATTCGATCAAAGTAAAGCCAAGTCAAAAAATTTGGAGTTAATTTTTTTTGATACACGAAATTTGGAGTTAATCAAGTTGATGAGTCTTATTTTATGACTTAAACTAATATTTATAAATTTATGGTATGATTTGATTCCATTAAACGATTTTCTATAAACATATACGATATACATAATACATATATATTTTTTCATATGTGATATACTGATATCTTGCAGAGTTGAGGGACTCGACTTGAACTTGAAACCCAATCAACTAATTATTAAAAAATTCGAGTTATTTGAGTTCTATTTTATAACTCAACTCGAATTTGAATTTTTTTCGAGTAGAGTTAAGTTTATGAAATTACAAGTCGAGTCAATTGGAGTTGAATTTTTGAGCGTTGAGTCGAAAAATTCGATTTTTTCAAGTCGAGTTTTGCTCACTCCTAATTAAGCCTTTATACTATTGACAAATGAGAGTATTTCCATTGAAACTTAAGTGAGATATCAAATGCAACTCTAAGTCCTGTTCAGTGAATTTGTTTAACCATTAAATATCCTTATCACAATAGTTTCTGTTATTCAACTTATAAGATTACTCATATCATGGAGACTTTACATATGCAAGCCTTTGTTCGTCGTTAATGATTGTTTTGATTATACAATGACTAGAAACATGTTTAAAAACATGATTTGTTGCTTAAGGATCAAATATTTATAGCTCTTTATAATTCTTTTGCAACGATATTCTGTTGGCTTCATTTACATAATAATAGCATTTATAATATGACTTATTAATAAAGAAATACCTTAATTATATTAATTAAATAATAATGAAAAACACATGAAATTTACAAGTTAAATATAAATACAAGCTTATCTGGCTTGCAGGCTTACACCAACACTTGTTGCTTATGTGACTATTTTTATCAATTTCTTGATGTTTGACAAACGAAAGAATGAGTTTGCATCACTCACAAATTGAATAGCCTACTTTTTGATTGATTTTGTTCCATCAAGTATACATGTATTTGTATGCACCTTCAAGCTTGCCCTTTCATCTTTGTTAATTTTTCTTTCAGTTTAAGGATGCTGGGGGTTTTGAGGCTTTAGTCACCGGGAAAACAACAGATTTGCAACGAATTGATGTGAATGAGAGGATAATTGGTCTTGAGAGGCTCAATCCAACTCCAAGGCCAACAACGTAAGTGCTTAGTCAAAGATCGAATTTTGCATGTTCATCATTCACATAAGACTTTTATTTGTTTATAGCTCTGCAGGTCTCCCTTTCTGGAAGGTCGTTGGGACTTTGAGTGGTTTGGATCTAGAAGCCCTGCATTTTCTTCTGCTATAATCATATTTGAGTGAGTTTCATTAGAAAACTGATGATCTCCAATTTTCCTGACCGACTGGTAGTTGACCTTCTTGGTAATTCCTTTGTACTTTGCAGGAGATTCCCATCAACATTGGCAAACTTGTCAAAAATGGATTTGCATCTTAAGGACGGAAAGGCAAAGGTTACAGCACACTTGAAACTGCTTAACTCGGTAAGTGTTTCCTCAGCATGATGCTCACCTACACAAATGAATGCCACATGTCATAATGCATCAATATCTATATGAAGTACTCTGCCTTGAACTTTGTATTGATATTCAGCTATATCTTCCTTTATTTTATAATCCGTAATCTATTTTCCTGCTTGCTTATATAAGTTGGATCTGAAGTAAATTAAATTAGTTCTAATTGAAAATTTCTAACAAGAACTAGTGTAAATCAGTTCTTGGTAGAACTTGAAAATTTGCTGTTGTGCAATGGAAGCGGTGTTGACCACTATTTGCTTCGGAATGGTAATAATTCCACATGGAAAATCTATGAAAATTTGTTGTTGTGCAATGGAAGCGGTGTTGACCACTATTTGCTGTTCTTTCTATTTATTTATTTTGCTTGTGATCATGTCAACCTTGTTACAGTGGTAAGATTGCTTCATTGCCCTCCCTGGACATCATGCAAGTCTTTGTATTGACTGTCAGACAGAAGTATGCCCTTTTCTAGTTTCTCAGTTATATTCTATAATGGGCTCATATTATGTACAACTTCACAATTCTCTAATTGAAAATTGGAACGTGTTATTTTTCTAATTTAGCATGTCAGTTTCCTCTTTCTAAAGTGTGCGGTTTTAGTTCTCTGTTGAGAGTTGTGCTTGCTTTGATTACAATGATTAGACAACTTTTCTGACACACACACAGCATAAAAATAAAAGGAAACTTTGGGAAGGATACCTAATTTTCTAGTGGCTTAAGGTTATCTCCTGTGGAATGCAGATAGAAAGCAAATTTGTTCTTTCCACCATTGTATCTATTGAGGGACCATTACGAATGAAAGAACAATATGTCGAGGGGATACTTGAATCACCATCTGTTGTTGAAGAAAAAATACCGGAACAGTTAAAGGGTGCATATGGTCAGGCTCTTACTACCATCCAGCAACTTCCAGTTCCTGTTAAGGATGCAGTGACAAGTGGTCTGAGAGTTCCTCTGGGTAAGTATTTCAATGTTATTCAAGTTTTCCTTAAAATGCTATAGCCGTGAGTAATATAGATCCTTAATGTGCATGTTGCATAAGTATCACTGGAGTTGTTATCATTATGATTCATTGTGGGATTTTTATTATTTTATTATTTATTTATTTTTGAAAAGAAAACTGTTCATTATTTTTTTTAAAAAAGTAACTGTTCATTATTTGGAAATCCTTTTAGAGGTTTCTATATTGTATGAGATTATTTCGTTGGAGAGCAATAAGAATCCGTATTTAAAAAGATGCCATTCGTCTATACTACTCCCCAGTGCAATTCTTATTAGAGGTTGGTTAATGGATGCATATGACTTACCTTTTTGTAAAAGCTTAACGAGACTATTTAGTTTGGCTTTGTTTCTGCAGCAGCATACGAAGGTATGCTGATAATTTATACATGGTTGATGGCTTATTGTTGATTTTCAAGAAATGGAATCCAATTGGTTAGTTACTTCCATGTAGTGGAAAAACATTACCAGCTAATTGAAAAAAGAGAAAAGAAAACTGGTCTCATAAGTTAAAATCTCTCTTTTTTGTTCTCTCTTTTCTTCCCATGAGATCAATTTAGAAGAACAATGCATTTGCATGGAATCATCAACTGAATTGATGGTTAAGAATCGGTTGCATGAAAGGATGCTAATCCAGTTAATCATCACTCTCGACTTTGGAAAGCAATTTTGCGAGTTTGCATATATTTTATGATTAATGTGTTAAGGGTAACATGGTACATAGAAGGAAGAAAAAGTTCACTATTAAGGATAAACCATATAGCTCTTCTGTTTGATATTCAATTCTTTCACGTCTGAGCTGAAGTTTATGTTTTTCAAGGTGGGACATTCCAGAGACTGTTCATGATTTCGTATCTTGATGAAGAGATCCTTGTAAGTATATATCTGTACTTCCGGTCTCTGTTTATTTTGAGTTTGAAATTATCTTTACAATTTCATGTTGTTTTCTTGGTAATTCAGTGTTATGACAATAGCATAAGAAATGATCATTTCATCCTTTCTGATAAAAATGGAACTTGATATCATTAATTTCTTTTATTTTGTTGTGAGGAACTAATGAAAATGGACCTTTTTTGTAGCCTGGAAAATAAAGTTGGCGAATATATTGTTATAACTTCTGCTTCATTATCTTTATTCAGTTCTGAACCAATTCAAGCTCCACTTGGTTCCTTTATAGTTCAATAGGTCTCAATCCGTTGGACATTGTGATAAGTATGCTGATTATAGTAAAATGTCATATATGTGGTTAAAGGCAGTCCCTGTATTATGGTAAATTTTATAACAATGTTAATGCTGACAAGGACTCCTAAAACAACAAAATATTGATAGATATTGAGTGCCTGTGTTGGTGAGTGCAGATAACTAGAGATACTGCTGGGGTACCTGAAGTTCTTACCAGGATTGATTCACCCTCCTCATCTACCATGCCCCAAACTAATGACCCCAACTTTTGAGAGCTAAGAAATCAAATAATACATGTATTACAATATACAACTTGTTTTTTGTTTTTATTTCCTCCTTACTATATATTTTTCTTATAGTAAGGTAACAAGGGAACAGTTTAGTGTTCCTTTTAGTTTTCATCTCTCTGCCAGATTTCTTTGTATTCTACATGTCTTCAACTTTATATTGATGTCTAATAGTGATAATGTCAAGGTGATATGAAATATATATATATATATATATATATATATATATATATACAATTGATGAATTTAATTTGGTATTGTGATTTATTGTTATTTTTTTAATGAACTATCCTTGATGAGTGTTTATAAGTATTTTTTAATCCAAGTTTCTTGAATTCCTATATAGGGTTGTACATAATGAATAATTTTTACACGCTTCTATAAATTTATGTATAGTTGATATTTTGATAATTCAAATAATAATTTGTAATAAGATTGTACTTTTCATCGCCTGTAAATTTTTGAATGGATATAACGTCTATCATATTGATCTAAAATATTGTTTCATTAACTGTTGAAAGTCTTTTACATAATTAATTTTATTAAAATTTAGTATGCATAATCTAAATAGATAAAACGTTTAGATTATTATAATATTAGTTATATATGCAAGACAAGTATTATATTAAGCTAATTTTATTGAGAAACATATTTATATATACAGAAGATAATTAAAAAAAAGAGCTAATAACTAAATGCATTTTATCGTCTTTGCTCACATTAAAAAAATAAATAAAAAGATGAGTGGTTTTTCAGGTCAAATATGTTATTCACGGGACAAACACATCATTTTATGCTAAGAAGCGAATTTTTAAAAGTTTAGAATGAATGAATTTATAAAATTTTAGGAGAAAAAACATATTTTCAATAGAAAATACATAAAAAAATTAAAATATATGAAAAAATTTAAATTTTCAAGAGGTGACTATTAGGTATGTTCATGGTCAGTTAACAGTACCATTAAGTCTAAACGGTCGGTTAACCGTTATAATGTTTATTAAATTTTGTTAAACATAACCTAACCATTAAGAAACGGTTAACCACTAATGGTTAATTGTTATTAATGGTTCGGTTATAGGGTAACCTGTTAATATTTTTCAAACATAACACAATTTAATTTTTTTAAATTTCATAAAACTTACGACAATAGAAACATGTATATTTATAAAAATCTTATTTATTTCTAAATGTATTTTATTTTATATAAATATATATATTACGAGGTATATACATTTTTTACAGTTTAAAATCTTACATATATATTTATATTTTATAATTTAAAATCATGTATTCTTCCATATATTTGATTTAATGTGCTCCTATATAAGATAAACATGATAACTAAAAGACAAGAGGGATAATTTTAATTTTATTTCTAATTCTATTCTCTAAAAAAATATAATTATTTAATTATAATTTATTAATGATTAACCATTAATCAAAATTCATTAACCGTAATTGTAATCGTTAACTGATATTTTTAGCGGTTCAGTTAACCAAAACCATTAAACTTTAACGATTTAATTAATTAACCTATAAAATATAACAGTTACATCGCTTGATAGTTACGATTAACAATAATAGATTAATTTAAACACCCCTAACTACTGTCCCACCTATCCTACCTCTGAATCCCTCGCTCAATCTTTGGTTATTAAGGGTGTTGCAATTCACACATGATTCTAGTGAAGGACAATTAAGAACACAACAGATTACATGGCGAGTAAGGCGAGAGGTTCTGTTGGGAAAGATTGTGTTACGATTATCATCTTCAACCTTTCAAAGCTCCTTCATCATCATGGTCTTTGGCTATTCTTTGATAAATTTGGTGAGGTGATTGATTTCTTCATCCCTAATAAAAGAAGGGTGGTAGCAGGTTTGGTTTTGTTCGCTTCACCAGATTGGAGGATCCGAGGAAAGCTATCGTTTGTGTAGACAGATCGAGGATTCAAGGGAGCAAAGTTAGAGTTTTTATGGCAAGATTTAAACCTCGTGAAGCTTTCTGTAGAAAGAAGTGTTATGTTTCAAATCCAGCTGTGCCAATGAGTAGAGTGGAGAGTGCTAATCCTATTGAGGCTCCCATTGTTGGTGTTATTGACGAGGATAAGCTATCTACCCTTAAAGATAGTTTGGTAGGTTGGTGCAGAAAATTTATCAAAATGAAGGAGCTGGCAGCTATCATGCACAAAGAAGGCATATTGCGTCCGAGAATTATGAGATTAAGCGGTTTAGCAATTTTACTTGTATTTGAAGATGAAGATAGTATGAATTTTACTCTAAACAATCAGTTTGAGGCGCTTCAAACTTGCTTCAACAAAGTGGAAGTGTGGTCGGAAAATGTTAGGTGCAGTAGTCGACGAGCATGGTTATCATGTAAAGGAATCCCACCGTTTGTGTGGATTCCTTCAACTTTCAGAAACATTGCAGGAAAATGGGGTGAGCTCAGTTTTATAGAGGAAGGAACTTTGAGTCCTGACTCATTTGATAGGGCGTCGTTTCAAGTTATTACGAACCATCAATCTCGAGTGGAAGAATCTGTAGAATTGAGAGTTGGGGATAGGTCATTTACAGTTTTTGTGTCAGAGTTTGAACCTTGTTTCAACTCAGAATCAGTCTAGGAAGATTCGGTGTTATTGGAAGAGGCTGTTGCTTACCCGATTTCTACAGTGGATGAGTTCCATGGTAGCTCGTCAGATAATCCTCCCGAGTCTGAGATAGGTGCAGAATTGATTTCCTTTGTTAATATTGTATCCAGTCATATGGAGGATGCTCATCAGGAATGTCGTGAGCTCAAAGACGGCTTCGAAGAGGTGTGGTCTAAGGAGTTAGATTCCCAGGCAGCTAGTTATGGGGTAGTTGAGCGTGTTGCTTTGTGCCAAAGTAGCAGTAATTCTTATGCGGAGGAGGAACCTTTGCACGTGGTTCCTATTGAGGATTTAAGTGCTGGTGCAGTTGGTGATAAATTACAGGTGGCTTTGTCGCATTATGTAGTGCCCATGAACATGGTGGCGCATGATGTCTCCTGTCAGAATAGCGGCAATTCAAATGTAGTGGCAGATTATAATATTTCGTATGTGGGCTCAGTAATGTCGTTGGATGCTGGTCACGTGGTTAATGCTTTTGTTGGCCCTCTGTCGTCTTTGGATAGGACGGTTTGCAAGGGAATTGTCGTTAGTCCGAATGTAGGTTCAGTTTATTTTCGAAATACGGATGAGGGGTCTATATCGATGTCTCCTGTTGGGCGCGATCTGGAGGAGTCATTGGTAATGCCGTATCAGTCATTTACCAAAGATTTGAAGCTGAAGAAATTTGGATCTATGTTGGACATTTAGGGAAAAGTCCTATCTGTTAAAAGTCCAAAGGTTGGCAACCAACTTTGAAAATGGTTTTCAAAGTTTGGTAAATGTTTCTTTGAAAAATGTTTTTCAAAGTTTGGTAAAGTTTGGTAGATGTTTGTTGAAAATAGGAATGGGTAAATTCACTTTAGTTGTTGCACTGTAGGGTATTTTCAAAGATTAGTCCCTAAGTTTCAACTATAAATACCCTAGCTCATTTAGCTTCAAAACCATCCCAAAAATCATTTCTTTCTCCCAATACTAGAGAGCTTTCTTGTGAGTAGTGAGTGTTTTGTAAACACCTGTAAATTTTCTCTCTTAGTAAAAGATCTGCAGCAATTCGGAGACGTAAGCAAAATTGGTTGAACTCCGTTATCAATTTCGGGTATTATTTTTCCGCTTTTATTTCGCATTCTCACTAATCTGGTTATATGGAAATTACTTGTACTCGGTTTATTTCCTTATAACTGGCATCAGAGCTTTTGGTTGTGAATTTTGTCAATTTTTTTGCGAGGTTACTATTCATTACTATTAACGTGAATAGTGAATTTTATGAATAGTAAAAATTTTGTCGTCAATACGAGTTTGTCGACGGAGGTGTTCTAATACACGGTGGTTCGCAAGAATTGTCAGAAACGATCCAAACGAAACCAGATTCGAGTGGGAGCGATGGCTGCAGACGAAGGGAACGTGAAAATTGAAAAGTTCGATGGTGCGGACTTTGGCTTTTGGAAGATGCAAATCGAAGATTTTTTGTACCAGAAAAATCTATATCAACCTCTCTCAGGAAAGCAACCAGAGGGCATGAAGAATGAAGACTGTGCTCTTCTCGACAGACAAGCCTTCGGAGTTATCCGACTGACGTTATCCCGCAATGTTGCTTTCAACATAGCAAAGGAAAAGACCACGGCGGGTCTTATGGCGGCTCTCTCCATTATGTATGAGAAGCCATTAGCCTCAAACAAAGTGCACTTGATGAGGCAATTATTCAATTTGCGGATGACGGGAGGGGCATCGATGGCACAACACCTAAATGAACTCAACACAATCACAACCCAGTTGATTTCAGTGGAAATTGAATTCGATGATGAAGTTCGAGCTTTAATTCTCTTATCATCTCTACCAGACAGTTGGAATGCTACTGTTACAGCAGTTAGCAGCTCGTCGGGAAATAGTAAATTGAAATTCGATGATGTTCGGGATCTGGTACTGAGCGAAGAAATTCGACGGA